GAATAACAAGTCAACCAGTGGATTTGCAGGCAGACTGTAACAGCTTGTTATCTGATGTCCCCTGGGCACAAACACTGAGACATCTGCAGTTTTTGACCTTTTTTTTGTCTCTGCTGGCTCAATAGCTAGTTAGCTGGTCATTCAATGTGAAAACAAAACAGAGGAAAGGAGAGCAAATTGCAATAGGCAGGAGATGCTGGACAATTAGGATGCCAAAAGGACTGGAAATATGTAAGTACAGAGGTTGCTTTGCTCTGCTTTATTATTTGTGCATTAAGCTCTCTGAGTTGGTTTTTGGAACTCTGTTAAAAGCGGGGTTTCAATATGCCAGTTGTCACTGAACTTTTATGTTGGTTTTATTTTGCATGTATTTTGCATCTCTATTCTCTTTGCTTGGCACTGCAAGTTAGAAATTAACCTGAAAAACACACGTTGAGACTTCACTGACTTTCCCAGACTTTTTTTTTTTTGTCTGAGAACACAAAGCTCTCTTCATAGCATCTCCTCTAGTCCCATCAAGGGGAGGGAAGATCCCCAGAAGACTGACTTCTGGATCATCCTTTGTACTGAGATCTCAGTTCCTTGGAATGCAGTGACTGCACTAGCTTATATGCACGGGGGGTGTGGAGCCTCCTTCCTGTTTCTAGGCTCTTGTTAATAAAGAGTGTGCCCACATTCTCAGACAGGGCCCTAATCACCAGCCTTAGCCTAATCTCTTAATTAATTCCTGTTAATGTAAATGGACTCGAAAAGATTCTTTTAGCTGTAGTGTTCAAGAAATTAGAAGTCCTTTTTTGAGGAGACAGTGTGTTTCTTCTTTCATGGTCTGGTATAATGACAGCACTGTCATGCTGTATGAGAAGGATTTCCCACATCCTATGGTGCTCACTTTTCATCCCTGGATTATAGATTATTTTAAATCATCTCAGGATAATAGGTGACAGCTCAGTGTATATTATGTGTAGCATTTCAGTCTAGCATAGGCAGAGACCTCCTGGCCTTTTGTTTCCATAATTTCTGCGCCTCAGAATGGCCTAAAGTCAAGGTTGGGTTACACACCTTGTGCAATAGAAGGCAACAATATGTGAAGTCCTGGGACCTGCCAAAGAAATTCAGTGTTCCTGCTTCTGATTTAATCTGATTTATTCTCATCACATGGATGTCCTGCAATCAAGGTCAGAAAAGGATTTGAGCCTGTTTCTGATGTGGGAAGACAGCAGTCCCACAGGTTAAAAAACACAAAGAAGAGCTAAGTTCAGATTGACCTTACTGAAAAAAAAGCAAGTTCCCAAAGTGGAGTGTAACTGGTCAGTATCATGAAGTGAATCTGGAGCAGGGTAAGAATTGTGGAATTGTACCTGCCCACGTTATAAACAGAGACTCCCCTCTCTCGTGACTTCAATTTTGCCTAGGAGAATTCATATAAAAACAAATAAATGCCAAGAGAAATGTTTCTATTGTTTTCCTTCTCTGTATCTAATGAAATCTGTTCCTTTAAAACAGAGCAATATCCTCCCCTATGATTTTTTGCAGTCACATCGCAGAAAGAGAGAAAACCTGAAAGCAAAATTGACTCCTTTTGATTTTTCCTAGTTCAAGAGAGGAGACATGCCAGTGGGAAGGAGAATAAAAATCACACTGAGTAAATCTGGATTTTAAACTGCCTCTAATGATCAACAGCAATTATACAAATATTTATTTCTGGTTTTATAGTTTATTTGTGTTAAGGCCAACAGCAGATTTTAATTTGATATTCAGTCTTCCTTATTAAAAAAATTGCATCTTTTAGATTGGTTATTTAATTATTTACTTCTGTAGGAGTTAGGAGTGCAAGTTGTTGGGGGGATAATTTTGTTATGTACTGCTTTAGAATGTATTTTCTGCTCCCTAATTCTTTGGTTGCTTAGGTACTACAGATCAAATCCTGTCTGCACTCAAGCTGACAAGAAAATGTCCAGTAGTTTGAATAGGGTGCTGATTTTATCCTTGCTGTTCCTGCCCTAGTGGGAACTGCCATAACATCTAACAGCAGATCTTTAACATCTCTCCAGTGCTTTGAAGTGCAGCCCCTCATATTTCATTCACCATCTCAACCAAGAAGCAACAGAGGGACTGCAGCCCTGCTGCTGGAAGTGCAAGAGGGAGGCAGGAGGCAGGAGGAGGTGTCATTTACTGCTTAGCAGGTTGGATAACCTTTTTGCATGTGGTTTGCTCATGTGGTGACAGCGACATGATGTGCAACCCACAGCCACAGGCAGCTTTTTGCAACCCACCTGTTTTGCAGCTGTGATGGCTCTAACCTGAGACCATCAGGCATCTAGAGATATGCTGGTAAATCTGTATGCACGGAAATATCACGACACATGGGGGTTTTCCTTGTGTGTTTGGTGCTCAAAAGTTCCAACAAATTTCAACACATAGCATGTTTATGAGTGCTTAAGTAGTTAGGAACCCAAGCTCAGGCAGTCACTTTTGAAAAATCTAGTCAGTCTTAGAAAGATGTGCTCTGTTGAAAGGAATCTAGCCTAAAGATGTTCATGAAGCTTCAGTTTATGTTGTAAAGAAACCTGTAGCGTGTGGTGTGCTTTCCCCTTTTCCTGGATTTCATTATGCCTTCCTGCCTCACAGAACAGCTGTAACATTAAACCCATTGAAATTTGTAAAGTGCTTAGAAATCCACTGAAGGGAGGCTGTAGAGGAGTAAAAGGTACTCAATTTTCATTGCTGTTCTATCAAGCAAGAGAGTTTCCAGAGTGTCTTAATAATAAATAAGAATAAATAACTGCAAACTGTAGAATCTGTTCTATGCTCATTAATAGGTACTTTTGGGTCTGTGGTTGAGGAGAATCTCTTTGAAGAAGAAGGTGAGTATAGATTTGAAGATTTGAATTCTGATTTCAATATCTTCTCTACCATCATGGCTTGAAGCATTGGGGTGTGCTTTAGTAGCGTGTGAACATTATCCAGGTCTACCGGAATTTGAATAATTGTGGCAGATTGTTTGACCATTTTCTCCTGTCAGATTTCAACTAGATTTTCAAATAAATCATTCACCAATATTTTTTCCTCATGGTTTGGTTAGCTCAAGAGCCAGCTGAACAATATTCATCAAATAAATTACTCACTTTTTCCTCATCAATCTGCAAATAATTTATTCACAAATACTTTTACATGAGGCAGCCAGCTCTAGCCAGGACAAATCAAGGTAATTTCCTACGCTTTTGATCACATGCCAGTAGGACTTTATCTTGGACAGCTCAATAGAGACAGGTTTTAATGCATAATACATAAATGGCTAAGCTGAGTTTTTCACAGTTCTTTGTAAGCTCTCTACTGTTGCCCATATTTCTGTTCAGCTGCTAAAGGGGAATGACAGGGGGGGCATGTATTTTCCATCCAGGTATGCTCAGAAACATTTCACAAAGCCAAGCGCGGGGCTCACGTCAGCCACAGCCGTGATGGGGCAGCCCGCTGGCTGGAACACGCACTCTGTTCACTGGAGCAAGGCGAAATTTAACAAGAGTTGAGAAGAGGAAATGAAGACAAGTATTGTGCCTGCTTGGAGACACAAAGGGAACCTAGGGGTGGAACGAAATCAAGCAACGTGGAATTTCGCCAGCGTGCTGGGGATGAAGTCCCTAGCTCTTGAGAAAAGGGTCCTTAAACGAGATGGCACATCCCTGCACAGATGTCTCCAGGACAACGTTTGTGCTGTGGCTCCCTCTCCCCAGGCTCCTCAAGCAAACAGCTTGGAAGCCACGGAGAGCCCTCTTCCTGCCTTGGAGGCTGCTGTGCTGCTGCCGGGGCAGTGGAGCACGGCCTCACCTGTCTGTCTGCCCACGCCTCTCGTTTGCTGTGGAGAGCTCCTGGCTGCCACACGCCAGGCAATGGCACCAAAAGGTTTCTCCCCTGGTTAAGGTTTGCAGCCTGCAGTCTGCACTGCATGAGAGGAGCACTGTTGCATCTCTGCCCCTAAGCAGAGAGCTGGGTCCTCATCAGGCCAGGTCCTTCTGCTGTTGATCAGCCCTTCTAAATGTCCTTTATTCTTGCACTCTGTGTTGGATGTGGGCCTCATACAGAGACATTTCATCCTGTCCTCTGCTGCTCAGGCAACAAGGTGGGCAGAACAAAAGTTGTTTATCCATGTTTGCCAAGAGAGAAACTGCAAAGGCTAGCAAGTGTATGTTGGGGGAGTGGTGCAAGCAGGGAGTGGTTGCGTGTGGGCTTCTTTAGGATCAGGGTGTGTTCATGTTTCATGAACATGTGCATGCATAATAGTGTGTTTAATATAACACTCCAATCTTGATCCTTCCCCGAAATTCTGCTGGCTAACCTAGTTACCCCAAATGAGAGGCACTTTCAGCCTATACATTATGCAGAAATGTAGGTATGAAGAAACGTAAGCAAGCATTTTTACAGCATCATCAATAAATAAGTACGTGCTATCTACTCAAATCAACAGCATGCTAAACACTGAAAGTCAAATGGGATGCCTTCCTGAGAAACAAACAACTGACCATGTATTTACTCTGCAGCTCATGAATAAACATTGGAAATGCACAAAAACAGAGGAAGATATTTGTCTCAACTTGGAGAAAGCTTCTGGCTCAGACTGGCTCTCATAGCTGAACGATACAAAATGGAATTGGCAAGGGGGAAAAATGACATAATCACATACATGTAACAATCCATTGAAAGTAGGACACACAAAAAGGAGAAGAAAACAGGCTTTGAAGGAGAAGGTAAACTAACACAGCGGTCAGTTTCAGACCTTCTCTTTCTGGCACCTGTGCTGGCAATTTACCAGCCTTGGAGAAACGGCTCTCGAATTGAATGAGGATCTCAGACACCTGCTTAAATTGTCACAATGTTACAGAATGTATTTTAACACGCCCTGCTGCAAGGCCATGTGCTGAGGAGGGAAGCGCATAGTGATGAATGGCAGGATAAAGATGCTTTCAGGAAAAACACAGATGCAGAAAGAGATTTGGGGACTCAACATGGGTAATGAACTCCACAAGCTTTTTGCACAGCACAGGAAATGGTCTACTTCCATTTTTAGTTATGAGAGAAGGGGGAAAACAATGACTGAGAAATTACTCTGTGCACAGCATGTGTGTATAGACCACAATGACATTGTACCCATGGTGGGTGCCTGCAAGTCAAAAAAACACTCAGAAACACTGGAGTCCAAAATATCTGCAGTGACCAAAACGAAATCTTACAATGTGAGGCTTCAAAGGAAACAATCTATTCAGTTAAACAAGAAGTGATAGAAGCACAATGTATAGTTACTTAACCATGAAAATGGGATGGGTGTGCAGTTTTGTAGGCAAAGGCATAACAAGTTCTGATGTCTCAAAGTTGAAGTTAGACAAATTCAACCTTGAAAGAAGCAATTTCCTAGCAGCAAGGATAATTAAACATTGGAATAAATTAGTAGGTGGAAGAAGCAGTTGCCATTACTTGGAGTCTTTAAGACGTGTTGTCTTTCTAACTCACTTTGATCCAGCTGCTGAGGAAAAAAATCTCTGGCTTTTGTATATGGGTGAGATTAATGGGTTATAGTGGCCCTTCTGTCTGGAAGTCTGACTATATGTGGGGGAAAAGTGGTTCTTACTGAAGTAAAAGAGGTGGGAGCAGCGGGGTTGTTGAGGTGCTTGTTGAGAACACAACCCAGGGCTCAGGACAGCAGTGTTTCAGGACTAAAGCTCGATGAAGGATCAGGAGTTTGACCTGTGTGGTGGAAGCTGACTGGTAAGGGTGAGACATCTAACCTGCTTTCTGAATTTGATGTAAGGGACACGTCTTTGTTTATGGAAGTGACATCTTCCAGTGAAGAAAAAGTGTGTTTAGATGCTGGCTAAAGGAGGAGAGCAGAATGACTGGAAACAGGCAGCAAGAACAAGCAGGGATATGAGGGCATTTTGAACATATCTGAAGACAGCCTTGTTTTATTCATACTTCCACAATTCATACATCCACAAACTTTTTCTCAGTCACGTTTGTGGATTCAGCCTCATTTGCTGTCTGGGAGCTGGGAAAACTTCAGTTGTGCACAGGACCAAGTGTCCTCCAGACAACTTGTGGCTGAAGCTCTGCAAAGATGTCAATCTATGCCTTGCAGGAGCTCAGGTAACTGTGGTTGGAGGGTGAAAGTTCTCCTCGTCAGTTTTAGGAGGGTCTCATTTCATTCCTATTAGGCAACACCCTCTTTCCTGTAAAGCATAACGGAAGGAGTAACAAAGTCCAGCCTAAAATCCAGTCTGATAATCATGCTCAGTCAAGAACACAGCACGCACTTCCTGAACCTCGCCCAAGCCAAGTCATGCTCGAGAGTAAGGTGCACTGGAGACTCTGGAATAAAACCTAACCCAGCCATTTTGTGCAGGAGCAGCTGTCCCAAACCATGCATGGGCTCCAGAGATTCCCCACAGGAAAATGTATAACACAGATCCCTCTCTACCACGGAGCCTGGACAACAGACAGCAAGACGTGCCCAAGGAGAGCACAGATTTCCCAGAGAATGTGGCAAGGGGACTGAAAGAGCAGATAACTGTCCGGGCTACTAGAGAGCCGCCCTGTGCCTCCGCTCTTTGTTTTTACAAACAAACAGGAAATTAAATCCCCAAGCAAACAAAAATCTCTGAGCAGGCTGGGAAGGAAGGTGGTGGAGTTAGTGGCATGAATGCCATGCTGCAGCAGCCCCTTATTGACTAAACTGGGATCTCAGGCAGGGGAAAAGAAACTGAGTCTCAAAAAAGGGTAATAATGCTGCTTGGGGGGCTGTCTGGCACCAGTGGGTGAGGGAGCGGTGGCCTTGTCCATGAAGTGCTTGGGGTAAGGACACACTTGAGTGTCTGTGCTCTCCAGCTCCTAACCCAGGCCATGAGCAGGATGGAATCGCCGGAGCACGGGCAGGCCAGTGCTGCCCGTGGAAGGGTAGGGCACAAGATGGGCACACCCGGCATCGGTTTTTGAGGTCACACATGCATGGAATGGGGCAGCCCAGCAGGCAGCCCCGGCTGGGGCAGTGATGGGCACAGGGCCGGCAGTGACCCCACACGTGTGCGGCGGCTCCGTGCGCGGGATGTGAGCACCGGGGGCACAGCCGAGCGCCGGCCGCGGACACGGGGGAACCCCACCCGCGCGCGGGGCCGGACGGGCTCCTCAGCCCGAGGAACGAGCGGCCAAACAGCGTCCCGGCCCCACGCTGCCCCAGGGCCGCTCCCGGCCGGGCCAGCCCGCCCTCCCCGCACCGGCGCTTTCCCAAGCCACGTGTGCGCGGCGGCGGCGGCCCCGGGAGGGAAGAAGGGAGGGAGGCGGCGAGGGCAGCGCGGTTCTCCGCTGGGCCCATCTCGGCGAGGCGCTCCCCCGGAGCCCGCGGCCCCGCTCTCCGCCCTCCCTCCCTCTCCCGCCTGAGGGGAAGGGGCCGGGCCGGGCCGGACCCCGCGCCGCCCCCGCTACCTGCGGGCGGGGGCGGGCGCTGGGAAAGTTTGTCTCTGTGGTTGGCTGCGCCGCGCGGCGCGGCCGGTCGGGGCGGGCGGGCGGCTCCGTGCGCTCGCAGGGCAGCGAGCGGCCGGCCGAGGAGCGCTGCCGCCGCCGGTGCCCCCGGGCCAGCCCAGCCTGCGCGCCCGCGGTCCCGCTCGCCCAGGGAGAGGCGCCGCGCAGCCCTGCCAGCATGGGGCACCGCGGGGAGAGGGCGTCCTGCCTGCCTCTCCTCCTCCTCGTCCTGCTGCTGCTCGGTGAGTCGGGGGTGCGCGGCCGGGGGCGGCGGGGAGGGCGGCCGGGGGTGCTCGGGCACCTTGCCCACAGGTAGCGCGGCGGGGCCGGCCGGGAGGGAGGGAGGGAGGGAGCCGCCCGCGGAGCCCGGCCGGGCGCTGCCCTCGGCGGGGCCGGGCTGTGCCGCCTGCCCGCCGGGCTGTGCCGGCCCCTGGAGCGGGCGGAATCGGCCGGCCCGGATCCCCCGGGCCCCGCTGCTCCCTCCGGGGGATCGCTGCCGGGCATTTCCCCGAAACTTTAGGGGGCCTCCCGGAGCGGGGGCGGGTCGCGGGGTGCTGCCCGGGGGCTCCCGTAGGCTCCGGGGTCCCGGGGCGCCGCGGAACGTGGCGGTGGGGCCGTAGTTGCCCATAAAGGAGCCGGTGCGGGGCTGTGTTGGCGGTGAGGTGGGAGCGCTCTGAGACCTCACCTGGCGGAGGTGAAGCGCTGGCTGAGTGGGGACCCTCCTTGTGCCTGTCCCCCGGGGCCCTCACCCTGCTCGGGCTCTCCGGGCACACCGGGTGCGGGGGAGGCAGCGCTTCCCTGAGCCCTCCTGCCGGGCTCCCGGGGTTTGCTGCCTCTGCCGGGAAGTTCTCCCGCTAGGAGATAGCGTGTAATTGTGTAGGTGATGGTTTACGCTGTGTTCAGGTAATTGTGTAGCTGTCGTTAGCGTGACATGTGGCATTGTTCCTTCCTGGTGTCAGTGCCAGCCAGGCAGCGTGCAGGAATAAAGACAAGCAAGCTCTACACAAAAGGGTGGGTGGTGGGTTGTCGTGGGATTTTTCTTTCCCTTTTTTTTCCCCCCCTTATTTTCCCCCCAACATTGTACTTGTAGTGATGTTGCTAACCCTGTTACAGAAGTAGCAGTGAATGTAGAAGTAGAGAACTAGAAGGTTATTCGGGTTAGACAGCTCTGTCTGGTAGTATTTGAGTGGCTTTGTGTCGGCTCTGGGCAGCCAGAAGGACATCAGGTACAGGTGAGCATGCATGTCCCACAGGTGAGCAAGCTATCCTACGTAGTTCATGATTCACGACACTTGATTAATTGCAGGTAGTGAGTGGGAGCCTTTTCCAGATTTCAGGTGGAAGGAGTAACTAAACAGTGCCCCAGCCCGACACTGCCAACACTCTCCTTTAAACAAAACTCTATTCGCTGACTTAGTTTGTGCTTGTACTTTTGACTTTGCTGCGACTTTTATTTTTTTTCCTTAAGTCTGCCAGAGCACTTTCCTCATTGTTTAGATGTTGAATCTTTCATAGCCAGGTCTGCAGAGCTGAGAGTTGCAGTTGGAAAGTCGGTTTCCTAAACCTGGTCTTGTCCCAGTCTTTTTCCTGAGGCTGCTTGCAGGCTGTTGGGGCAGAGGGTGTTCTGTCTGCAAGATCCCACCAGACAAAAGTACCCACTGTGCTTTCTCTTACTTGCAGCTGACGTTAGTCATCTCGTTTATCTTTACAATATAGGCATGCTGCCAGCTGGGGAAACAGTCATGAGCTGGAGAGCTCACCTTCAGTATTTTTGTTTAGAAACAGAAAGGGAATAAGATTTTTCAAGAGGATGGTTTAATAGGACAAGCGGAAAATCAAGACTCTCAGATGCTCAAGGTCACGCAGCAAAAAGTAAAAACTATCACGGATGACACACAACAGGAAAGTCGTTTCCTTCTTAATTAAAGATGAAATAATCTGAAGAACTTAAAGTGTGCATGCAGAGATATGTGGCCATTGTTCATGATCTGGTTTGTCTAGATGTTCTGAGTTGTCTCTTGGGGATTTCTTTTTGGTAATTGGAATGGTGCTTTTAAAACTGAAAGTGTTTTTGTGTGCAGAAAAATCTCTGAACTGTGGTCTTATTTGTAGTGTGTGTTGTAGAGTGCCTATCTTTTGATATCATTACTTGGTCACTTCTATGAAATATTCCAAAGGTTAAGAGGCTTGGAAAGTAGTAATTTTCACACTCTGGATGGGAGAAGTACACTCCTGTGAACCATTTCTGGCAGGTCTTTAATGGAGAGATGGGTTGGAGCTTTTGCTGCAAGTATTGAGGAATTCTTGTGTAAGGGAGGTGGAGGGAAGGAGCTGAAGCATACACAAGTTTATCCCTTGTGAGTACTTAGACTTGACTATTTTCTTCAGATATTTACAAAATAATCCAGCAAAAGGATGCAAATGGCTGAAGTATTTGGCTGTGACAAATGAGAGAGGGTGGTTAAAACATTCTTTTTGATCTAGTACAGTTATAATCTGTTTGGTAAGGAGATTGTGGGATCCTGATACTGAGGCTTCATCTAGTCTCTCTTTTCTTCCTTCCTCTGGTGTGGTTAGATCCTGAGAAAGGAGGGCACTATGAGAGCGTTTTGCTCTGTCTGTTTCATGTGTGATTTCACTCTGCAGCCAATCTACCTAATCGACCTGTGAAATGCTCTGGAAACCAAACATCTCTCCTAGGACAAGACGGCCAAAAAACAAAACAAGCATCTGATTGTTACCAGGGCTCAGACAGTGAAGTAAACAATAAGCATTCCACCTCCTGGATTTTTTTCCTGGTTCTTGTTTGAGGTCCAAGGTAATAATTTCAGTGGATCTGAAAAAAAAAGGTTTTCATTTAAATGCTGTGGGGCATGAGGAGAGCATGTACTCAGTGGATCCTGGGGGAAAACCGCTGATAATGGGTTTCCCAGAGATGGCCTTTTTCTTACTCACCTTTTAGACCTGTGTGGCACTCGCTGTCTGCTATGATGAAAGTCAGTTCCAGCATGCCAGAACCCCAGGAGCTGTGTGTTTAGATGGATGGAGTTGTTTCCTGCATCTCGTGTCTGAAATTATTTTTTGTTTCTTTTCCTCAGAAGCTACAACAATTAGTCATTTGAATCGAGGTTTAATTCAAGCTCTGCAATAGAAGGCTTTTGGTAATTAGTGTAAGTTATTGTGATCATGCACTTCAAGGAAAAGCGCGCTTTAATCTTTTCCTGCGTTTGCAGCTGAAGTGGGAGCATTAGAGAAAGGGAGAGCCTCGAGGTTTAGGGCAGGGAGGCAATGAAAGGATGATTGCCTGCGGAGTGTTCGAGGTGTGTTGGAGTGGAATCTGCTGCCTGCTCACCTGCAGGTGTGCCCAGGGCTGGCCCTGGTGGCTTTTGCCTGCCTGTTCTTGGGAGGAGGCAGGCTCAGATCCTCGCTGGTGCTCAGAGAAGGCTTACAGCTACTCCTGCCTATCTCCTGTGACTTAGGACGTGGCCAAAAAGGCTTCCAAGAGGGAATTGCAGACTGCTGATGCACTAGAAGCACAAAGTGAACTGGAACTGGGTTGGTGAGGCACTGAAGGAAGGGCAGGTGGTGCTGCTGAGGAGGAAGCTCCTTCCCTGTGGCTTTGTCATGCTGATGTATTTTCTTGGTGTGTAGGCTGTGGGAACATGTGGGAATCGAGGGGTGGGCAGTGGAGTGAGTGTTTGTTCCTTTACGTCCTGTGTTCCTTAGGCTTGGCAGATGATGGCTGAGCCACCTTCTCGGTCTCTCTTGCATCTTTGTAGGTGCCTGTTTGGGGCTGCTTTTTAGGGAGTCTAGGTGCTTTTTCTGAAATTCTTTGACCTTGTTCCCCAGGTTTCTCGATGGCTGCATTTCAGCACAGCAACAGCTTGCTCTCTTTAGGTAGCCTCTGTTGTGTTTGGCTCTAATCCCCGAACTGAGGTGTAAACCTGCCTGAACAAGATTTGAAGTAAGCAGCAGGGGTCATTTAAAAATGCAGCCACATGCTTGATTAGAGGGGAATGTGCTTAAGAAATAATATATATCCATCCCTGTCTAGTTATATAAACAAACATTCAGGGACGTTTGAGATTTCAGCTTTCACATCTAATGTATTCATGGGTTGATTTGTTTCTGTGTGGTTGTTTCTTCTTGTTGTGGGTTGGGGTTTTTTTTTTCCCATTTCCATAATCCTTGTCAAACACCAACCTGCAAAACAGAAATGTATGTTTTTTTTTTTAGAAGGGAAATGGGTACATATCTGAAAAAGGTATTTTTAGAAAGTGAGCCTTTCAGTTGTCTGGTTTTAGATGCCTTTCAGTGATATATTTTATGGTGTGTGAAGTTCTGTGTTTTAGAGGGAAGGGAGAGGGGACACATTGTCTGAAAATGTGAATTCTTTCTGATTATGTATAGAAGTTGATTGAAAGTTAAGTTGGAAAGAACTTGAGGAAGACAAGAAGCTGGGTCAAAGTAGTGGTTATGTCAATGTCTATAAAACTCTCTAGTACTGTCAAAAGAAAGATATTAGATGGAGTATAGAGTCAGTCTGTATATTGGAATGCAAATAAAAATATCTGTTTAATCCTTTTTTTTTTTTACTTTTATTGGAGATGTTACCAGGCCTCTCGTATTTGTTCTGCTTTCTCAGATCTGTGATAGTAAGTGATAAAGTCTTATAGACTTTAAAGTTTTATAGAGACCTGTGAGGTGAAATTGTCTAGGCATGTTTCCATTTCTGTCCAAGAATAATAAGCAGTTTCCAGCCTGACCCCAGTTCCTAACCTGCAAAAGGTACCTCAAAACTGGATTGAACAAGGCAGGGAGAGACTGTGTCATAAGCAGGTTTGAAGTTGTTAGAATTTCCTGTTCTAAAGAAGAAATGAGCTTACAGGGAGATAGTAATGGTTCTCAAATTTACCTTTTTTTTTGTCAGTTGATTCTCTAGAAAGCCTCGAATTTTAGCTGTCTTTCAAGACTCAAATATCTACTGAGAAGAGACTTTAAAAATAATGAGAAACTTTTAATACACCTTGTGTCTTGCAAAGGCCAAAGGGGTAAAATCAGTTTCAGACCAAACTGCTTTTGGATAAATTGACAGGTACCTACTGTGCCAGAAGTCTTCAATAATGCCTTTCCAAATTATCAGCGTATATAAAATAGGATAAGAAGCAAGCTGGCTTATTCATCTACATGTAAGATGTCATAATTGTAAAGCATAATTGATATCTTCTTAATGAAGTCTGAG